TTTATATATATATTTATATATATATATATATAAAACCCTCTAACATTAATTTTCTCGATTTTATTTTATTAATCACAGTAAAGGTTCCTGCTTTTGAAACCTCAAATTGAAATGTTTTTAAAATTCTCTTTATTACCGATTAATAAAAACTAAACAACAGTGTAATTCTAAATCAAAGCAGTGGTAGAAAAAAATTATTTTTGAAAATGCAACACTCTGGACGGCTGAAAATAATAAACAGTAAGTTAACTGGAAAACCAAATGGAAAAAGTTCGCCATCTCTGTCCCTGGATTCAAGAGAACTAGGGACAGGAATTTCTCTGGAGATCGTTAGTTTCTGTGAATAATTCAAGTAGTACTAGATTAGAAGGCCTGAATTGAAAAGGTTCCCAGTATTGATACGTAGGTTTTGCTCAAGTGATTGTAAGCTGATTTAAAAAAAAAAAAAAGCGATTACAGACATAAATATTTGAATACAGATATAAATATTTAAAACTTTAAATTAAAATATAATAAATAAATTCTTTCGCTTATGAAAAACATGCAGTGTTTAATGTTATTCAAAAATAATTATCAGAAAAAGGCACACATTCTCATAAACTTAACAATTTTTTTTTAAAATTATGATTATTGACGGAAAAAATTCGGTATTAGAAAGTTAAGACAGAAATAATAAGTGAAGACTAAAATTAATAAGCTAAGTAAGAACATGCTATAAAACAAAATCCCTCTATTAACGATTTTAGCTCAATTTGCGATTCTGTTTTTATATTTTGTAATCTAGTAATCTCATTAAGAAAATATTTTGAACCATTCTTGAAAATTTTCTAGTACATGTAAGTTCATATCAATTCGTTACTCGCTTTATAGATTTCGTTTTGTGTCTTCTTCTGTTTTTTCTTTACATTTTATTTTTTGTATTTTACGTGATATTTATAACTTAATGTGTTCGATTTTGCTTCACAATTTTTTGATTGCTCCTCACACTATTGTATTGATATATTTTGCTTTGGCCATATTATATTACAATATTAGAAAGCACTCTTTTTTGCGGACATAATCGTGTGAGCTGATGAAGAGATTGTATCTTTTTCTCCCCCCGGATTTTTATTGAAATTTGTTTTATTTTCATATTTTTAATTAAGTTATTTTATTTTAATAATTCTCTTTTCATTATTCAGTAATTTTAATTTAATTTTTTTCCATGTTTTCTCTATATTTAGAATATATATATATATATTATTTGTTAAGTGCGCATTATGTTATAAATTTTAGTACATATTAAATTCTTTATTATCTAGGAAATAATTGGAAACATGGGCAGTTTGAAGCCACCAGAACGTTTACACGATGACAACAATGTTGAAAGCCTCCAGTATATTCAATCTGTAAGCTTAACAGAAGATTTTGCCTATCCTCAGGTATTACAGGGCATATATATATATTAGTTTTAAAAGAAATTTTCCGGTTTAATAATGTTCTCTATCTTTAGGAATTTTATGACCGTGTCATACAGCTGTGGTCTGATCCTGGTGTGCAGCGTGCATTTAATAGAATGGGTGAATTTCCACTCATCGATTCAACTAAGTAGTAAGCTTCAGGTTTTATTCAAACTTTAAATAATTCCATTCCTTTATAAAATATTTATAACGAATTCTTGAAAAATAATTAACTATTATGCATTCTAGATACTTCAATTGCCCTATAACTGCACCCAAAAACGACATTATAGAGGACAAGAAAAATAAATTAAGTTTCTAAACTCTTCTAACTTTTTTTTACTTAATAAGTCCTAAATCAACATACAGGCAATTTCCAGGATTAGATACTCATAAAACACATAAGATCCATTTTTAACAATTACAAAAGATTTATTAGATAAGTATTTTTACTTTAGTATTCATTTCTTATTAAAACTTTATTGAATTTTCAAAGTTTATCTGACGATAGAGATCGTTTCACTTGTTTTGCGCTCCATTTGAACTACAAAATTTTAGTACCACTTTGAGATACCAAAATATTACCCCACATCTTAGTTATATCTAAGAAAAAGCCGTAAAAGTATGCACACACATATATATATATATAATTATAAAGAAATTTTTTACGATTGTAAATGCAATATTTCAAAATAAACAATAATTATCTTAAGATAAAAATAAATCATTATAATGAGCCTATATTGGTAAAAAATAAAAATGCAATTGAAAATGAGTTTGAGATGAAATAAAGCAAAAAATAAACTTACCGACGTGGAGTAAAAGTTAAAATGTCATAAAAGTAGATAATCTAACAGTTAAAAAAATTTACTAAGAAGAAAACGATATAAAACAGTGCTGATAACATAAATCGTATAAAATAATTTATATATATACATCCGAAGAAAAAAGAATCAAAACTAGAAATCTGTTTTCTTTTTTAAAAGATTCACTCATTAATTTCACTTATTACTGTGAATGTATTCAAATCTTTTAAACTTAAGCATTTAAACTTTTTAACTTCGTAAATAGCGTCAAGCCTAAATATGCGAACTAATTATTTACAGTTAAAGCAAAATGCTTGAAATATATTTTGTGGGACCCATTTTTAATAAGAAATTGAAAAATAATTTTTTCTTTTTAAGTTTCCTAGACAAAATTCAAGTAATCCGGAAAGATGATTATTCACCGAGCGATAAAGTAAGCAAACGAGTTTTATCTCCTATAAGCAATATTTTGTGAAATTTTTCATTTCAAAATAATAATAATGTTACCGACAGGACATATTGCATTGCAGAAAAAGAACTTCTGAAATATCCCGGATTGAATTTACCGTCAAAGTACCAAAGAAATATGGTGGAGGTTACCAGTCTTTCTGGCAAGTATAATAAACACTATAATTTGTAAATATTTTTGTTTTGTTTATTACCTAGTGTGTAAATAGATGTTGTTGAATGATCGCACACCTTTCGACTTGATCAACTTTATCCACTAGATTAACTAAATCACAAATAAAGAGTTATAAAAAAATTCAGACCCAACTTAAGTATTAATAAAAAAAGGAGTGCAACAAGATCAAATAATAATAATTAAAAAAAGCAGACAATCATTTTGGAATTTCTTGGAGTTGATTGTTTTACAGACAGAGTTTTTATTTTCACCAGCATGCATTTTAAATGTTTTTAAACAATATTAATTTAAAGTATTTCTATGTTTTTTTTTTTCGTGAATAATTATAATTAGTATCTTGGGGACGATTTAAATATAAATACGAATACTGAAGAAGGAAAAGAATTTTATGACGCCTAAAGAAACGTATATTGGCTGAAAACGATTGGAAGACATACATCAATTGGGTATAATATGAAAAAAACA